CAAATTTGAGTATCAGTCTAATTTAATATATCTAAGCATTAATTTGGGCCGAATTAGGCGTGAATTAATTTGAGCACGAATTTGAGACGAATCAGAATATAAATTTGGCTTAATTAGAGGCAGATTTGTTACCAAGAGATGGGCAAAGAAATGTGATAGCAAAAATTGGAATAAATATTAATGCCTAATGAGCTAGAAAGCATTAGCAAGAGCTCTTTGCAAAAACAATCTTGTAAATTTTCTTCAGTAATGACTCTTTCAGGAATAGATATTTGGTTTGTGCAATTCTTTAAGAATAGTCAGCTAGAATTTTAGCTTTATATACCAATATTTTTTAAGATCAATAAAATTAATTTATATTTAAAAAGGACATTTTTGCAATTTTAAAAAAATTATTTAATTTTAATTATCAATTAAAACCTAATATATAATCACAAATTGGAGAAATTTCTGGACGCAAAATTTTTTATTTATTTATTGTTCGCCGGTATTTTTAAAAAGAAATCAATTAAATCAGAAACATAGTTAAATATCAATAAAATAAGAAATCAATAATTGTGAAGAATAAAATTCATTTTTTTCATTATACGTCGTGATATTTCATCTTGGAAAATTGTTTGCAATGGATTGTACATATATTATTTCGTTATCTGGAAAATATATTATTTTGGTGCTAATTTTTCATGTTTGGAATCCATTCGCAATTTCTCAATAGACAATATGGTGTCGGGAAAATTAGCTGGGAACTAACTTTCGGGAAATCATACCAGAATCAAATTTGAACTGTCTATTAGGGGTCATAACAATTGACTAAGAGATTATCTATACAATATCGATATCAAGTGAATTTTTAACCCATATGAGTTTAAATTACTTATTCATTAAACTAGAGAATATGTTGGATGATAAACAAGTTGAAAATTTAAAGCAATTATTACCTGGTGATTTAGATAATAAAACAACATGGTGTATATTTGACAGGATTATAGGAACACTCCATCTGAATTTTTGTATTTGAAATTTAATATTGTTCTCTACAAATAATCTAGAAAAATATATTTCATCCAAAATTATCTCATTCCGGCACCAACTTTAAAAATGATACAAAGAAATTTATTAATAACTAATAGTTCTAATTAATAGATGATTGAGGTGTATTATATGTTGGAATATATGTAAACATTTTAATTTCTTCGCATTCATCCTCCATGCCATCATTAAAAATGTTCTCTTCTTCATTCTCTTCATTCCTATCGTTATCCTCACTATAATAATTGCTAATATGAACATTGTCCAAATTTTCATTAAATATCTCTTTAATAAGTCTCAAATTCTCTTCAAT